CTACTCGAATTCTCCCTGCGTGTCAGAGATATAACTTTAATTTACGTAACAAAGAGCAACGGAGAACTTTGCATGAATAATTCGCGCCTTTTATCATAAAATCACCGTTGAATAAAAAACCACTCTCGCTCCAGTTTCCTCGAAACACCCGCTATATCTCGAGATACATCCACCCTCGCCAAGGATGTCTGTCGTTGTTTTCATCTCCATCATGGAGTTCCACGTTTCACCAAGTTTCCAAGCTTTAAAGTCGGAAAATTCTTTTAACGAGTATCCGCGTTGCAAGAAAGGCACGGGCTTTTAAGCTTCTCACTCGTCCTACGGGGGAATTTCTCGGAACAGCAAGAAATTGCCTGGTTCTCGTGCTTAAATGCCCTCGTTACGTTGTATTCTTCGAGAAATATTTGAATTGCTGTTAAAAGGGAATGGCGGAAGAAACTACGTTTGATCGAAAGAAAATTTTATATTGGGATTAAATCGACAATTTTTATCTTACTCTTAGATAAATCTTGCGTTTGGCTTCTCGTAAAATTTTAAATAAAATATCAAATCTGGAAAATCTTTAAATATAATTACTATAATACGATAATAAACGGCAATGAGGGTGGAAACGGGAGGAGGAAACAGGCGAACGTGTATACAGTTTCGGATAGAAACGAAGACAAAGCGAATGGCGTGCAGAATTACGAGAGGATCGCGTGCTAATTTTCCTTTCTCTCCTTCGCTGTTTCTTTTTTCTCTACACCGCCACGATTCCATCATACAGCGATACCCCAGAAAGGGTAGGCAGAAGATATCGCCGAAAATCGTGGCGATACGATTGGTGGCGCGCATTACATCGCCAGGCACGTTGCCAAAATATTAGGGGCGTGAACGAAATCGCGATCAGCTCGTTGGAAAATTAATTTTCTGATTCGAGAATTTGCCAAGATCAAAGATTCATCGATCACACGCTAAGAAGAAAATCTTAACCACGAAATTTTTCTCTCAAAATGGGGAATATAATTCCTTCCCCGCCGATTTAGAAGAATTACGAAAGAGGATAGAAGAAGAGCGAAAAAGAAGAAGGACAGTGAAATATTTTTATCTTCCCAAGGAATCGTTCAGAAATGCATGCATTTCATTCATGGCGACCCTAATGACACCTTCCCCGTTAAATTAATGTTCTTCTCGGTTCTATTGAGATGAGCACGAGACGAGCTCGTTTGACTCCCTTTCGGTTTATTATTATATTAAACTCGGGTTTAAGGAAGAGCCTGGAATTATTTATTCGCGAGAAATAAGTAGAAGAGGAAGAAAAAGCAACAAGATGTTAATCTATCGTTGGGATGAGATTGGTTGTTTAATTGGTAATTCGATTACGAAATCGGAATATATAAAGTGAACAATGCGTATATAATGAAAACGCATTATTGGATCGATGAGTTCTGATTCCGTGTAACGAATTCCCCGCTCCGTTTCGCGCCCTGTTTTTGTTTTAATCTTGCAGCTCGTGTATCGCATATTTACCCGGTTTTCATAAAAGGGAGAAAACACAATGTGCCAGCCGAAGTGAGCATAAATCAATTTTATGCCTTTCAAACTCGACGCATGACACGTAAAACTCTTTAAAAACAATGGAGCGATGGCATATCGCGCGATATCAGCTACAGTTAGCCCTTTGTTCCTGTACAAGCGATAAGGGGACTTCTTCACCGCGTTTCGCGAAACCGGGTGAAATTTTCTATCCGTGAACGTATCCTTTCAACGATGATGATATTCTTTGTCCTTTATATATACGCAAATATCGCGATAAATAAAACTATGAAAAAATATAATTTAATTGAGATTTCAAACGAAATACAAATTCGAAGTGAAAATTTCTCGTATACTTTGCGTATAATAAAGGAATCGTTGGTTTATTTCTTATTTTTTTAAAAGAACGATTTGTTAAATTCAATTGAATCAACGATGCGCGGGAATCGATTCGAGCAATCAATCAATTCGAACAAATGGTAATCGAAAAGCGTGATTAAACGCGATCGCTTCTAAGAGGAGAGGAAAGAAGCAAATAAGGGACAAAGACACCTTCCGACATCGTCTTTCCCTCTCCCTTATCCGTGATGCATCTACAGAAGCGCGAGGATAATAATGCACGGCGGTGGAATCCTAGAAATCCAAAAAGGAAATAAACAAAGATCGTTTTAAACTACTACTATCACATTCCCGATTTCAGTTAAGGGAAATCAAGTGGATGGTAGTTTAAAACGATTCCCCCTTTCTCCTCCTCCTTCTCTTCCTGCTCCTCTCTCCTTTTTTTTTTTTTTTTCTTATTCGTCCAATAATCGCATTCTCTCCTCCTCTCCACCCCCTGACTTGACCTATCTCAACCCAATTTTAAACTTAGCGAACGCGTATCTCTTCGCGATGGCGATACGAGGGATGTATGCGAGTTTCGCGCGTTACTCGGTTGCCGAAACTAGCACGGGGGATACATCAAGGTGTATTGGATATTTGCATTCGCCTTCGTGGTCAGAAAACTATGTGCCACCGAGACGTGAGCCGCATACGCAAATGGAACTTTGAATCTTTTTACCGTTTCACCTTATCTCCCATATGTATCTTCTTGGACGCGTAAATGGAAAATTGTTTGAAGGAAAATATATGAGAAGCTGTCGATGCACGATTCCACGGTGTTTGCGATTGTTTTATGTTAATGGTAATCTTTTTCGATATATTTTTCGATATGGATAATAGACTAAGATTTTATTAAAAATATAAAAATGATATCTGTAAATTTATTACCTGATGTACAACAAATTTTACGATTTTAAATATTCCTGTGCTGCGATTCGTTGATATAATAAATGATATATCCCTTTCTCTTCCTCTTTCTATTATTATAAATTATTATAAATTATAAATTAATGAAAGAATATCTTCGACCCGAATGAGTTGCAATGGTTTATCTTCTATTTTGCCTGTAAATTTTATCTTTTTTATAAATATGCAAATGTAGAGGATCTGTATTAATAATTATCTTGAATGCCTATCCGATAAATTTTTTCCCCCCTTGTAATTTAAAAACGAGAAAGAGGAAGTTAAAAGTTCTGATAAAATCTTTAAATTTTACGATCATGTAACAATAAAAATTGTATCGATATCGGTTAGTTTCAATTTCTATATCGATATCTCGTGACGAACGATACGCGAACGCGTAGACTATAACCGATACAGTTTGCATATAAAGATTCAATATCGTTCGATAAGTTCAATTGTTTTATGATATCCTGAAGAATATTTAGAAACGATTAAAATATTTTCTAAAAGAACATAACAATTTTTCATTTTTGTAAATACCAAAAAATTGACTAAAGCACACGAAGAAAAAAAAACAAATAGTTATAAAATATCAAGTAATATATCGATATCCTATATGATGAAAATTTTAAATCTAATTCTATTGTTAAAAAAAAAAAATAAATAAAAAGATTATTTTCAGATATTGTTTACAATTAACTGAAACCAAAAATTATTCATCGTATCAATTGAATTCGAATATCAATACATGGAAAAATAAATCCATGTATTAATATTTCGATTTCGACAAATGTAAAACACAAGCGAATATCTCTTTATGAAAAAAATATTTTCGAAAATAGAATTTAATATTTCATTTTTGTTACGTTACAAAACAAAAATGACATATACAAAAAAATATAATATAAAATATATAGTTAAAAATAATAAATAAAAATTATTTCGTCTAATTTTAATCCAAACCATTGAGAAACAATAATTTTAAACCAGGAATGTTTTTAACGACGATTGCATAACAATCTGACAAGACATTTGTGTTTTAACTACGTTTTTCCATCTCATTTTGCTTCCCGTTGCTATCCACGAAACTTTAAACAGCATCACCGTTTCCTGCTGTATCCCGTACGGGCACGCAATTAAAAAGAAGAAAACAAAAAAAGCTTTTAGTGCGCAGTAAAAACCATAAAAGGAAAAGATTACACGGTGTAATTTCGTGCACGGAGAAAGAAACGGGTTCGTTGGTACGCGGCAACAAAGTACTGTCACAAAAGAAAGTGTAAAAGCGCCTGTCCAGATTTAGAACCTCAATTAAGGCTATGGAGAAGAAGAATCAATGCAGAAACACCGAGTAATCCATCCACTTCCATGGACCGCGACAGTGACTTTTGTTCAAGTAGAATTGGGCGAGTAAATATAGAGAAGGAAAAAAGATAAGAGTTAGAAGAAAAGAAAAAAGAAAAAAAAAAAGAAAGAAAGAAAAAATAAAATAAAAGTAAATGGAACGGGTACACCACCATTGCCCATCAACTACGAATTTAGCGTTTTCGTTTCTGCGAGTGGAAAATAGGTGGAAGGGAAAGAAATAGAAAAATAAACGATCGAAGTTTGCGATCTTCGTGTATTTCTGTTTTGAATGTGTTCTATTCGGAAGGAAACGTGGAAACTTGGCGCGATTAAACTTCTTCCATTGTGGAAAGTTAATCGCTTGGAAAATGATTCTGTAAATTTCTCGTTATTCACTCCTTTCGGATATTTACTTCGTTTCGAACGACTTTAAATATTAAAAAGACAGAGTTTATTATTATCGAAACATCGATGAAAAATATGATTTATCGAATATTATAATCGACGATGACCAAATTCGCGAATAATATACTTTAATAATCGAACACCTGCATTTATTTGGAACGTCTAATTTCTAACGAAACGATGTTTAAAATATTAAATCTAATAATTTTCTTTTTTAACTACAATTTTACACAGAATTAAAAAATTCAAAAACCCCAAGAGTTATCTAGTATAAAAACTTGATTCATTATTCAAAGTTTTCGTAATCTAATCCATATTCTTCCCCGCCCCCGTTGTTACATATTCCGTCATTCAAACACGTCCAAAGTGTCCGAACAACCGATCGATCAACGAGATCATCCCGATTGTCCCCAACGAGAGAATCAACCACGGTGAAAAACTTTGCACTTTACCTTATCCAAACCGCTCCTCGATCTCGAAAAATCCTTAGCACCCTCTACCCCTCGACCACCGCTCGCATTCTTATCCCTTCATTGGCGGCACCTTAAAAAAAACACCCTTAAACACTGCACGACGCGGTCCACGTTGTATCACACAAGAAATCACGTGTCCGTTTGAATACGTTACATGTCCAAGTCCGCGTGGCGAACACGATCGAAACGAAAACACGTATCCCAGAAGGGCAACCGACGCGCGAACCGACAAGTTTCGAATTAAACACGCGCGGCCTTGATACTCGCGCTATCCTTCTCATGCACCATGAATCGAAACACCACTCATGAGTCACGAGAAAAGAAACGAAAACAAACGAGACGAACAAACTAAATGGAGAACTCGTGAATCATAGCTATTTCTCGAAATCAATGGTAAACAACGAGCGTAATCAACGATCAACCATGCTTTCCACGTTCACGATCTCGAATTTTCTTTCAATTATCGCGAATCGGCTCGCTACGATGAAATCGAGCATCGACACACGCGACCCGGCCCAAAGACCGAACAGAGAAGACGAGAAAGATCGCCGCCAAGGAAGCCGGTCGAACAGTGGATCACGTGGCTTTTCGCACGGGTGGCCGCCGCTCGCAGCCTGGCAAGGACAACACCGTTACACCTTCGCGGCGGCCCGTCGAGAACTGCGTTCACCACGGCTCCCCACCCAACGCTTTGGGGGCAGGACGCTCCAGCTAGACACGCTGCGCGGCGTCGCTCCGCCCCACGTACAACTACCTGCACCCCTCCAACGAACCCCCCTCGCGGATCCTCTCTACCCTTTCTTTCGTTTTCGG